GGGGCTTGGCCCGGCCCCGCCCCCGTCAGCCTGACCCCTCCCGCCCCCCAGCAGAGCACAGACTGAGACCCGAGCGCACAGTCGCGTGTCCACTAAGGTCAGTGGTCTCCGGTGAGCCATCCCATCCCTCCGTCCCCGTCTGTCTTACACAGCCTTCAAGTGTCTGCAGCCTTCAAGTGGCCTGGGGCCCTCCCCGCCTAGGCGGTCGGCCCTTCTCACCTCCTTTGCTGCAGGGGCCCGTCCTCCTCCTCAGACTGCGGTCCAGCAGCTGGTGTGTCCGCGCGGGGCTGGCCCCTGCCATCAGTCGGGCCGTGGCCTCGTGTAGGAACACCTGGGCAGGAGGAGCCAGGTGAGGTTCTGGCCAGGCCCCCACTCCTGCCTCACGCCTCTAGTCCCCACTGCAAGCCCAGGGGCCCAGGCACTCACCCTCCGCATGGCAGGCCGGAAGCTCTGCGCCAGGCGCCTCAGGCTGCTCAGGTCCCGCTGGAAGCCATGCAGCTCAAGGGCAGAGGCCTGGGCCCCACCGCCCGGGCCCTGCGAGGCCTGGGCAGGTGTAGGTGGCTTCTGCCTCTGCCACAGGCTGGTGCGCGCCACAAGGAGCAGGTCACACAGGAGCAGCTGCATGGCCTGGGGGTGACAGGCAGGGCAGGGCAGGGGTCAGGGGCTCCAGCTCAGGGAGGGAAGAGTGGGGGCCCGCGGTGCCAGGGGCCGGCCCCGGGCTGCACTGCCGAGGCACTGCACCCGCCTCACACGTGCAATGCAACAGCAATGCACCGCGGGGCCGCCCGCTCTCCAGGCCCCCACGCCCCCACCTGCCTAGGGAGCAGCCTCCAAGGAGGGCCCTGCCACTGCGCTCATCCCGACCCCACCAGGGTAGGGGCACCTGCTCCCCCCTGGGCTCGAACCTTAGCCAGCAAGCGAGGTCAGCTGGGTTCCCCATTCTGTGCTGTTGGGCTGACCCTGCAGTCTGCAGCCCAAGGGGAACGACCAGCCAGGCCCCCAGCCCCACCCCTCACCTTGTCAATGGAGCTGCCGGCTGGTGTGGCAGCCAGGCTGTCCTGCAGGTAGCCACTGGCCTTCTCACACATGGCCAGGCTGGCTGGGCCAGACTCCACCTTCCCGCGGCCCAGGAGGGCCCGGGCAGCCTTGAAGGAATGCAGAGCCGCCCTGGGCAGGGGTCTCCTGTTGGGGCCAAGGCAGAGGTGTGGTGGTCAGACCAGGTCTCCAGCCCTCACTAAGCTGCCTTTGTCCTCGTTGTGGCTTCGTGGGAAGAAAATGGCGGGGACCCCAACCACACCCAACAAAGACTGGCAGGGGCGGCACACTCACTCGGACTCCTGCAGGGCGCGGGGCAGGTGCTCCACCAGCGGGTACAGCCGCTCGGCCGCCTCTGCATCCCGCCGCAGCCAGTGGGTCACCACAGCTGTCAGTGAGGCCCACCACTTGGCCACTGGGTCTGTGCCTGCAGGGACAGGGGGTGGGAGGGGTCCCTGAGACTCGGCCACAGAGCACCCGAGGCCAAGCGGCTGTGGAGCTGGGGCTGGGGGTGCTGGGGGCTCACCGGTGGTGGTGGCGGGCATGCTGGAGCTGACGGAGAAGCTGCAGGAAGGGGCCTCAGCTGCATCGGAGCAGCTGTTCAACAGCTGCAGATACCCGAGGGCATCTGAGAACTCCCTGTGGCAGGAGAGGACAGGTGGCAGTGTCCTGAAGGGGCACTGGCCCTCCTCACCTACCCCCACAGCACAACCTGACTTCCTGGCTCCAGAAAGTGCTGCTGTCTCCTGCTGCTGGGCCAAGGGGGAAGCTGAGACCCAGAGAGGAACTGGGGTGCACCTGAGGCCACACAGTGAGTGGACAGCAGCCCAGCTCTGGCCACCTACACGGGTGCCTGACAGAGCCTTTCCCCGACGCCAGGGTCGGGGCCTCTGGCCTAGTGAGGCACACAGGGCCGCTCACCTGTCCCCATCAGCCGATCCAGGGCCAGGGCTGGGCTGGGCCACACAATTCAGTGCTCGTTCCAAGAGATGTTCACGAAATAGCTGAGTCACCTGGGCCAGGGGGTCCACTGTGGGGAGGAGTGGGTGAGTGGGGCAGTGGGAAGGGGCCCTACCCCTCCTGGGCCCTTTCCTGGGCATGGGTGGGCTTGGCTCTGAGATAGATGAAAGCTGGTGGATTAATACTCCATCCCTGCCCTCGGACAGGATAGCTTGTCTTGGACACACACCCTTCCCTGACCCCGTCACTGCACAGCTATGTTGCCCGGGAGCACCTCCCAGACCAACCACCTGCTCCCAAATCCCTGTCTTCCTGTTTGCCTCTGAAGAGCCCCAGCTGAGACAGAGCCAGGAAGGCCTCCCCATCCCTACAGCCCCCGTGGCAACAGCAGATGGCAGAGCTACAGACAGGGTGGGCAGGGGCAGGGGACCAGGGACTGGACAGGAATGAGCATGAGGAATGGGACTGGGGGAGGAAGGATGGGGCCAGGGAAAGGGGAAGGGGGGCAGAGGGGGAGAAGGCACCTGGGTTCCCGGCCACGCTGTACAGGCTGTCCCGTGGGGCAATGCACATGGCCCAGTCCCCGTCCACGAAGAAACGGTGGCCCACGGGGTGGCAGAGCCACTGCATGGCAAGCGGCACCGAGCCCCTCTGTGCCAGGCAGGCCTGGCGGGCACTCCTCAGGAAGAGGCGCTGTGGGGGAGGGGTGGGCTGTCACACCAGGACCAACCCTGGGCTGAGACCCCCGCCGGAGGGCAGCCCTCCCTCGGACCAACTGCTTGAACCCAGCAGCTCTTCGTTAGAGAGCCATCGGCCCTGTCCCTGCCAGCCCATCACCCACTCACAGTCAGAAAATGCAAGGCCCGTGGGAGGCTGGTCTTGACCCTCAGTGCGGCGGCCACGTAGATTTCAGCCAGCGTGGCCACGGACACGGCGTCCCCCGCACACTCTGCCAGGTTCAGGGCACTCAGCGCCAGGTGGGTGGCAGCGAGGTGCCCGCCTGGGTACTTCCCTGGAAGACAGGAGGGTGTGAGGCCCGGCAGGCGCAGCGGCGGCGGGCGCCCTGGGCCCAGGCCCTCACCCGCGTACCCACGGCGTGCAGCTGGTG